ACAATTGTCTGGTAGTTTAGAAAAAACCTCCAAAGATGCTAAATGCCATCAAGTCACTTCTGATGTGCAGTAACTTTACGAGTTATTGACCTCCAAAATATCCTGTTATTAACAGCTCTGCTCGGATCTTGCAAGCCAGCACAGTCTCATGCTAGGTCTTCCTCTCTTCCTACTGCTCTCCCCCTTCCCAGCAATATTGTCTTTTCCAGTAAATTTTACCCAAATCTTGCAAAGGCTTCTTTTATCAAGCCACCCTATCTCATGGTAGGCCTTCCTTTTTTCGTCCTCATTTTCCCCGGCAATATTGTATTTTCTGATCAGTTCTGTAGGTTAATGATGTGTATGATAGGGTAGTCCCAATCTGCTCATTTTTGCTGTAGTAAAAGTTCTCACTAAACTTGATCGAGCATCTACTTTTCTGTCTTTCTGGTTGTCTGGCTTCTCTACTGCTGTTTTCAGACTTTGGAACTCCCTGCCACTGGAGGCCAGACTGGCCTCCTCTTTGCTGTCCTTCAGCAAGCAGGCAGACACCTTTCTCTTCAGGCAAGCCTTCCCTCAATAACTACCTACCTGTTGTGTGATTTTTTTCAGATGGATTGTTATTCGTTACTGCTTTCACTGGATTTTTAGTACTACTTGTGTTTTCCATCCTTGTGTTTTCCATTTCTCAGAGTGGCATTTGTAATATATTTTTATATATTACCAAAACCAGAGAACATCTACTCAAACTGAGTGTAGGGAGTGTGAGAACAGACCAAAGAAAATATTTTGTTGCCCACCTTGTTGTGAATCTGTGGAACTCCTTGCCACAGGATGTGGTGATGGCATCTGGCCTAGATGCCTTTCAAAGGGGATTCCTGGGTGAAAAGTCCATCATAGGTTACAAGCCGTGATGGACTTAAAAGGAAAGGACCTCCACATGCCAGATGCTTGGCAGTGGGATCAGGGGACAGGTATCCAGTGGTCTCGTGGGCTCCCAGAGGCATCTGGTGGGGCCACAGTGAGCTACAAGATGCTGGACTAGATGGGCCCTTGGCCTGATCCAGCACAGGGCTCTTCTCAGGTTCTTATTTATTGTTCTTAGCTTTAAATATTGTCTTTTAATGAAGTTAACCACTGTTGCATAGTCATTGTTTTCAACTTTGAATATTGTCTTTGAATGTTATAAGCCACCTTGGGTGGGTTGTGTATAAACAAACAAACTCATAGGCATCCTTCAGTCTCGAGAGACTATGGTAACATGCTCTGAATCGAGGAGTGTCCTCTCCAGAGCATGAAGCCTGGGTAAAGTAATATGGAGGATAAGCTGTTACCCAAGCAGCAGATCCCCCCTTTCCACATTGCTGAAATAGTCCAATGGAAAGGCAAGAGCCAATACAACTGGTTCCAGCGACGTCGCAGGAGTTGGCAGAACGACACAAGCGGCCTTCGGGACTCCAGCTCCGGATTTTGCCTCGAGGTTAACTCCTGAAGCCTTTTCCATGAATGGATATAGCCACAAGGCAGTGGAGGTTTGAAATCAAGAGTTTTCCTCATCACAACATGAGCAAAAAATAGGAAATAGACAACCTGTGTTGCCAGTATAGTAAAGTAGCCAAAATTCATTCCAGCTTGGATTAAATCAGGGTTGTGTAGAAGCAAAATAAATTAAAGCAAGGTAAACAAACAAAAAAACAAACAAAAAACGAGTAAATAAATCCCGGTGAGGCTCTGCTCCAAGACCACATTTCAATTGAGTTGATTTCTGTCCCTGTCTTTCTTCCCTGTCTTTCTTTCACATAGTACAGCTGATTCTTGGCTTTCAGTGATAATCCTTGCTAACTCCCAGCTCTCCCTGCTTTTAATTTCAAAAGGCCTTCTCTTGGAAAACGTGCACAGCACCTGCTCATAGCATTTTTGGTCTGATGTCGTTTTCATTTCTCAGGTTGCCCAACCCAAAGAAAGGGTTTGGAAAGCATTCCATCGTTTTCAAGCAGAGCAAGTAGGACAACACTAGCTTACCTGAGAGGTTAAAAGGGTGTGGATGCTTCTCCATTGTAGGTGATGCACTTAGCTCACACCTTTGCTCAACCATTTCATTAAGCCCCAAACAGCCCTTCCAAATATTTTGGCACAGAGGGCTGGACTGGATGATCTCTAGGTGATCCTCTGAAGTTCAAAGAAGGGAGAAGAGCTGCTCAGGGGATCCTTTCACAGCCATGATTGGAGGGTGTTTAGGCGCAACCCTGTCCTCGCTTAGCATGCATCATCTCCACACCAGTAGGACTGCCAGCCCTCGGAGGTGGAATGTGCTCCAGAGCATTCAGGTATGCTCGTGGGATCCACCAGCCTGTCTTGGTGAACCATTTTAGGTCAAAGGTTGTTAGCAACCAGCACTGAGAACTCTGCTTCCCTCATCTATTTATTCGTCTGAAGCATTTTATGCTCCACTCATGTGTTCTGGGGTGGACATGTCAGGGCCTATTCCACAGCTTGGGGAATTTTCCAGAAGTCAGGAGAGCACCTCCTCTTTTTCCATCTGTCCACAGCCCAAATGAAGTCAGTGAAGGAGTGACTGGGAGTCAGACAACTCTTGCGCTCACTCATAAAAATTGTGGAACAGCTCAATTTGTGAGTTCTGTTTTTGTGTGCAGCAGGGTGTAGCCAGTAATCCAGGTGGATGAGTAGAAGTTCCTTCTACCAAACCTATATATTTTAATTTGCAAACAGAGATGAAAGCATGGAATGAAAACCCAGAGAAAATAAATGAAGGGTCAGCAGATCAGCAAACATGGATTAAGAAGAAGTGGTGAGAGAACTCACACGGGCATTAAGTACTATATTTTTCCCTGTATAAGATGACACTTTTATCTAAAATCTTTAAACTAAAAATTGATAGTCATCTTATACATGGAAGTAGGGGGGAAGGGATCAAAGCACTGCAGGATAATAGCCTTTTGATCCCCAGTGGTTCTTAACCTTTGTTAGGTGTTTTTGAACTGCAACTCCCAGAAACCCCAGCCAGCAGAGCTGATGGTGAAGGCTTCTGGGAGTTGCAGTCCAGAAACATCTGAGTAACAAAGGTTAAGAACCAGTGCTGTAGCCCTTTGATTGCTGCGTTTTCTGCCACTTCCTAAGCCCAATGGGGCTTAGGGAGGGGGGAAGCAGCTCAGCCATGAAAGGCCTGCAGGATGAAAGGGCTGCGATCCAGCAGCCCTTTGATTGCTGCTTCCCCCCTCCACTTCCTAAGATCACTGCTTTCCCCCTCCACTTCTGCAGCCCTTTGATCCTGCTTTCGCGGGGCTTAGGAAGTGAAAAACAGGGATCAAATTTTCTAATTTGGGGTTAGAAAAGTGTTGGTCGTCTTATACATCGAGGTCATCTTATACAAGGAAAAATACAGTATACATGTCTATTATGGAATGTTACTAGAAGTTACATATCCAGAAATTAGGTGCGTACAAAAGCCACAACTTCCCTTCGAACCTGAATCGGGCACAGAGATAAGGGCTGACCAACCCAATAACTTCCAGAAGACAATCTGATCCACTCTGCCTCTGGGTCTGTGATGTTATCTTTGCATTTCTGCATTTCTGTTTTTTAAAAACATTCCTATGAATTGAGTGGGGTGCAAAACTAATACATAGCAGTCCCCTCATTGTGTCACTTAATCACTCAAAGCCCATGAAAAAGTCATCCTTCCACTATCACACACACAGTCTTAATAGTGCAAAAGCATTTCAGTAAAGTTTTGTGAATTTAACGGGGTGAGAGAACAAAGAGAAACAAGTGCGTTGCAGAATGCAAGATGGCCAGGAAAAGAGTGACGTGCCATTAGGATTCCTTTATATGCAGAGAAGAAACTGTCAACCTGCAGTTCTAGGAGTTGTTGAATAGAGGGATTTTAAATGCTAAGCGAGAACTGGCTTCTGTGTGCACCCACACGCGCCCTTTTGGCTTTTCCCTTCTGCTCAGCTGCCTACTCAACATCAGTCGGGCAAAGCTGCTTTTCCACCTGCTGGTGGAAACTGGTGCAGAACTGCAACCACCTTGTGCTGGAACTGCACCCCCCCCAACACACACACAAGAGAGCTGTGGAAAATCAGCCCCCTCCCTTCCTTCCGCCCTTCCTCAAAGCCTGTCTGGCCCGAAGGCTTCTGGCCCCTTCCAGAGCTGGGAAAGATATGGATTTCTCTCTCTCTCTCTCTCTCTCTCTCTCTCTCTCTCTCTCTCACACACACACACACACACACACACACACACATTGAAATCTTCTACCCTGTTGGATCCTCCTGAACCATCTTCCCCCGCAGCAGCATACAGTACATTGCAGGAAGAGAAACAGGCTAGCAGTTTCGGATGAGGGGCTATCCCCAGTCGGGCCCAGAACTGAAGAGCCTGCTCTCCTCTCAGAGGAGGCAGAGGGAGGGATGCAAGGGAGCCTCGAGGGGGCTCGGCACGGCAGGTGTCTCCCCATTACCCGGAAGGGCACCTTGTTTGGAAAGGTGGCTTATTCTGGGGCACAGGTCTCAGAATCTCCAGGCAGGAGGAGGCCGGCAGCTGAAACAGAGCGATACTAGCCGGCCCTTTCTGCCAGAAGGTCTCTGGGCAGCCATGGGTCAACCCAAAGTCTGCGGCGGAGGCAGGACCAGCCTGACCTCTCTCGGCTTGGCCCCTTCTGGCCCTTCCCCTCCCAGTCTCCCCTGATACCAGAGGAAGGGAGAGGCCCCCACCGCCGGGCTCTCGTCGGACTGGTCTCCCCACATCTGGGTGTCGGCCAGCTACGCCTCCCCCGTCTTTGGGGAGCGTGCCTGTTTGGGCAGGGCTCCACCGGGCCTGGATGAGAGGGGAATTCAGCCAGCCAGCCAGCCAGCCAGCCATCTGCCACCACGGACAGCAGCCTCTCGCGTGGCAGGCCCTGGCGCACCCCTGGGATCCGGCCCCACCTGCCAGCTCTTTAAATCCAGCCTGGCTCAGCTCCTCCAGCTCAGACTGCCACGGGCACTGACGCCAGCTGCACCATGAGGGCAAGCGGCCACTTCCTCTCCCTGGCGCTGCTGCTGCTGCTGCTTCTGGCCCTCGGGGCTCAGCTCTCCGCCTCGGCTCCCCGGGAAAGCAAAGGTGAATGAGTTTGGCAGGCGCTGAGGAGCCTGGAGGTGGGTGGGAAAGGCGACCGAGGAGAGGAGGCAGCCCCCCACCCCCCCCAGGATGCCCCTGGCGAGCTCTTAGAGGCAGGACCTCCTCCTCTTTTCTAGTGCTGGACACAGAGGGCGTCCTGCATGTTTCCATGGGGTGGAGCGGGAGGGAGAGATGCCCCCTGCGGGGTGGCCAGGGAGGTCGGCAACCCTGGGTCTAGCTTGATCAAGCCCCAAGTCAGAGTTCCTATCAAAGACCAAGCTTTTTCCCCCCCAGAAAAAAGGGAGCAGGTGGGTGGGATCCGAGTTACGGGTCGAGTCTTTGAAAAGAAAACCTGAGTCCATTCCTTGGTGCCACTGATGTCCGAACTGACAGCAAATCTCACCATTTGAACCTCTTGCTTCCCCCTCCCCGCATTCTCCTGCCCTCCAAGTTTTAAAACCTTATGTTCTGAATAGGTCAGAGCTCCAGAGTTTGGTAAATGATTTGAAAGCGACCTGGAAGGCATTTCTGGAGCATTTCCAGTGGCTCGATTTCATGGGCGCAGATTCTAGCAGCCTGGAGGGACCCCCTCTGGTTCCCCTGCCTGAAAGATGAGGTTCCTCTTGGAACAATGAGGCGGCTGACCAAATTTGGCACAGACACGGCTAGGCACCGGAGGGGTTCCAAACCCGACTTTAAGATGGGGAGGGGGGTGTCACCCTCAAGCACTTAAGCTTTCCAGTTTAAGAGTTAAGCACTCAAGTCCTGGGCCACACACGGTAGAGGCAACAGTCAATTTTGGTTTTGCCTGCATTCATTTTTTTTTATTATTTTTAAAAGGAAACCCTTTCCATTCTGAATATAAAGGAAATCTGCCAATTTTGGGAAAATTGTTGAAAAAATGGATGGGAATGAAATCTTTCCCCTCTGCCCTCTGCAGTGGGCAGGCGACTGTGGCCTGACTGGGGCCCAGCAGCTGATCTGATTTCACGGCCTGTGCCTCGCTCCCCTCCCACGTGCAAAACAGCAGCCATGGAGATGGGGATGGTTTCTCTGATGTTCTGATGTTTAGGACTGGGAACTCCTTATTCCCTTGGCATTTCCTTCTCTCACCTCCAGAAGCTCAAATACAACCGTGCTCCCTTTTAAAGTTCTCATAACAACCTTCTGAGGGTGCGCTGACATGGTTGAATAAACTCAGGAGATGGGTCAGGCTTTTAGAATTTTTGTTTTTTGTCTCGGTGTGTGTGTGTGTCCTCCTCATGGAAAAACTTTTACTCCGGTTGTCAGTTGTGTGGCATATGGGCACTCTGGAACTCCAGATCCCAGTTTCCCCAGTTTTCTCTCTGTACCGAAAACAATTCTCCACCTCAACTGTACTTTGTGCCTTTCTTGAGTTAGGGCTCGCCTGCCTTGAGACTCCAGGACTCCAGGCTCAGCAGCTTTTGTTCCGCAAAGCCAGCACCAACCGCTTCCGAAACAGCCCACAAACTATTCTAACGGCCATTTCCTCTGCCCTTTAAGTGTCGTCATGTCTGGTCCAAATCACAGTTTTTAATACTTAATTTTTTAATATAAGTTTTGAAGTGCCATAGCGCTAGCTTGATGCAGCACTAAAACAGAAACAGATTGGGAAAGAATGGAAGTATCTGGACAGCCGGGGTCCCAGAACCTATTATACTTGGCACCCAAGACGTGGCAACCCCGCAGACCCCCACAGACACTATTTACTTTGACACGGGTGAACCCATGGGCCCAATGAGTTTTTTTTTTCAAAAAAGAGACCAGAATTGATTTAAAATAAACAAACCCCTCATGGATTTTTTTTTTAAAAAAACCCTGCTTCCCCAGTAAAACAGATGTGTGCTTAGCTGTACGTGGTGTAGTTGGAAATTTTTAATTTGCTATCAAGAATGTGAAACCCGATGCAAAAACAGGAGGTCTTGCCATGGGTGGTCGAGCCCCGGGGGAGGTTAAAGGGCGGGACGTTGAGCGGCCCCAAGTGAGAAGGTGAATCCCAGTCTCTCCAGACCCCCGGTCACTCTGGCTTTTACCCAGAGTGTCCAGCTTGGCTGGTGCCCTGACAGGAGCCCCTCTTGTTTTCGTGGGGAGGCTGTGGGCATCTCAGTGGTGGTGGATTCCTCGGGATTCCCTGTTCCGCAGCCCTCACCGGCGTGCCTTCCTTTTGCAGCCAAGGCAGGCTACTGCTTCCATGTGCCACCCCTGGGCGACGTCTTTGACGAGAAGGACTGCAGCGCCTGCCAAAAGAACGGGACCTGCTCCGTCTGCTCCAGCGACTCCCAGTGCCCGGACACCCAGAAGTGCTGCCCGGGGGACTGTGGCTACGTCTGCCAGGAAGCCATCTTTGGTGAGGGCAAAAGGGTGTGGGTGGGCTGGTGACTCCCTCCCTCCCCTCCGCTGGTCTCTTCCTGGTGCTTCCGTTCAGTGGCGAAGGCTAAGCCGCTCAAAAAATGACCCTGACCGTCCCTCTGTTTGGCTTTTAGTAACACTAAGAATTCACAGATATACAGTATTTCTTTGCATCTGATGGGGGGGGAAACCCACATAATTCCATAATATCCTAACAAACATCTCAAGGAAATCCATTATTGCTGCCTTCCTTCTGAAATGTTGACATCTGAATATGCCTTAAGGCAATGGGCATGAGTGATACTGGAATCATCAGGATGATGGAAGTTGCATTATGTAAGTGCAAGCCTGCCTTTGGAAGGCGGCTCGCAGGTATCATGTTAAGGATGCTCTGTCTCCACCTGCACCCTGGCCGGCCCACCTGCTCACCTGTTCATCCACCTGCCCTGAGAGAAGCTGAGAAGGTAGGAAGGAGTCCTCTCTGGGCTCTCCCTGCGTGGGTGACCAGGAGGATCGGGGCCTGCCTGCCTGACAGCGCCAGCAACAACCTGGGCTCAAGGCAGGCAGTCTGGCCTGACTGCTTAGCCATTACCCCCCACCATCACCCCCCCCCAAATGACAAAAGAGGACCCGGGTTTGCATGAAGCACAATGTGCCCATGTATGTTGTCAGATGGAGACGTAGAAGCAACGGCTAGGATTGAATAGAAACAAAATTTCCCTTCACCTCAATAAAACCGCAACGGAGGAGGTTGTAGATTTGCACCGAAGGCGCCTGTCCTCATTCATGTGCATTGATGCAAATATGGAAACCATCACACTCACAGAAGAGAAAGGTAGGCCCTCTCACCGTAGTGGGGGGAAGGGGAAGGGGTGGCCGGGGGGGGGATCAGCTGCTGAGGACACTCTCCTGCTGGTCTGGTCGCTCCTTCCAGCTCTCTCATCTTCCATCTTATGGGGTGGCCTTTCCCTTCAGCTCGACCTGGGCTGAGCAGACTGACCCTGGATCTGCCATGCCCTTCCCTGGCAGGGAAGGGGGGGACACCTTGCTTTGAAGACTGGAGGAAGAGAAGGTGGGATTCAAGGAGGGAGAAAGGGGTTCCTTCCGCCAGGCCCTCATGGGTGACCTGAGGTTGCACCTTGCTTCCCCCCTGCCCTTCCTCGAGTCTGGCGCCTGGGCTAAGGGGGCTGCCCCGATTGCCGGGTGACTTTTGTGAGGGGCGTCCCAGTTTCCCTGCGGGGCTTTGTAGGGCTTTGCACAAGACAACCCCTTCCCGATTTTGACAGGCCAAACGCAAGGACAATTTTCTGATGCGCTGCTTCTGCTCTTATGGTGCTCTGTGGGCAAAAAGAAGCCACCTGTCCGGGCCAACAAAGAGGAAAGGATCTAGGACTGAGGGAGGCAGTCAGTCAGTCAGCAAATGCCATCCAGGTGGGCGGGCGCCAGGAATTCAGCCCAAATGCCACCCAACTGGAATGACAGGAGGAAAAAAGGGTCTTCCTCATTGGTTTCAGATTCAGAAGTCTTGCTCCCTCCCTCCAGATATTCTGATTGGCTGCTGACGCCCCCCCCAGCACCACCATTGGAGGAGAAATATCTCAAGCCCTTTGGCAGACAAAGGGTGAAAGAAAGGTTACTCGAAAGAGGGACCGCATGAATCATTCGTGTTTAGGAGGTGTCCTCTTTTAGTAACCGATGAAAGATTAAGAGAGTCTCTTCTGTGTTTCGGGTCTTTTGTCAAACACAAAGGGCCCCTCCCTGCCTTGTGGACGTTTCTTACACCCTCCTTTGTGGAAGTACGTCTCACATTCCTTTGTGCTCCTGTGTTTGTGTCCTGGTTGCGAACTCCCTCTAGCTCTGTCACAAGGCCTGGGCGGGACTGTTGCTGGCAACTGCCGACGATACCAAAACCCTGTAGCAGGTGAGGTGATGTAAGACTCCCAGGGTGCAATCCTGACCTCCCCCAAGGAACGGCACATCCCTTAAGCTCTTGTGGCTTGTCTGGCTTGTCACGGCCATTATGTTTCTGCACAGAAGTAGGAGCCTTCACTTCCAACCCATCCTGTTCCTCCGGGGCCGGGCGAGCCTCTTCTGGACAGGCAAAGCCACAGCACTGAATGGAGAGGGGGTGCCCATTCATCCTGGCAGAAGCGTTAGCAGGTGCACGTTGAGGCTTTTGAAGGATGGCTTTTCAGTGTGGATTCGGAGAGGCACTTCAAAGAAAGCAGGAGAAAGCTCTACCCACCGCCTGTCTCCTTAAGCTGAATCCCCTGAACCTTAAACAGAACCAGCCCAGCTTGGCCTGGATTGGATAAAGTTTGTATTAACATGAAATGTCCAGATTTAGTTCTGAAACAATGAAGCAAAGACCTTTCGGCTGATCTGGACATTTGGGTTCCTAAAATGAGGAGGTGGGGGTGGGGAGAAGGGTAGACCATTTGTCTTCAGCATGACCTGCAAGGAAAAGCCTCAAAGCCGTGTGATCTGGAGGCGATCCAGGCTGGGATCCCGGGCAGATCTCACGTGCCCTCTGAGGGGAGCATGGCCTCCCCCCCCCGCTCTCCAGGCACAGCGCTTTCGGGAAGGCATAAAGGCTGTCCTCTCACGTCGCCCTTTGCCCAGTCCAACAGGATTTTGCAGGCCTCCGAGTGGGAGGTGGTTGGTCCTCTAAGTGGATCACCATCGCTCTTGAATCCCCATTGCTTTGTTTCACGACCAGTTAGAGGAGTTTACTCCCACCTTCTGGTTGTTAATCTGTTGGTTACGTGGCCACCTCTGAGTTTTACATGGTGAACCGTATTCTGTCCTGTTGGTCCTCGTGAGCCCCGTTTGCTTCCTCATTTGCAAATGAAGGCTGTCCCTTTGTGCAATGGTATGTTCGTCTGGATTCTGCCAGAGGGCTGACTCATTCAAGCAGGCCTGTTGCAGACATAATTCAGATTGGGACTATGCATCGCAGTGATTACTATGGTGGTTTGTCATTTTTCTCGCCCTCTTATCCTTAATTTCCACTGTCACTGACCTTGCTGTGTCTTTGCTTCTCTACCACCCTCTCTCTTTCTCTTTGGATGCCCCAGACTTTTGCCACCTTCCCTCTGTCTGTGGGAACTGCAAGGCGATGTTTTCACGCTTCTTCTACAACTCCTCCAGCCAGAAGTGTGAGCAATTCATCTACGGTGGCTGTGGCGGAAACAAGAATAATTTTGAGACGGAAGACGAGTGTCTCAAAACTTGTGTTTATACCCGTGAGTACCCTTGGATGGGGGGGCGTGGCTGAGGAATCTCCAGACAGTGTGTGTGTGTGTGTGTGTGTGTGTGTGTGTGTGTGTGTGTGTGTGTGTGAGAGAGAGAGAGAGAGAGAGAGAGAGAGAGAAATTGGGCCCTCCTAGAAGGAAATCAACCCTGAGTGCTCACTGGAAGGAGAGAACCAATACTTTGGCCATCTTAAATAATGTCCTTCCAGTTTCAAAAGTCTTTGGTCCTCCAAAGTAATCCATTCCTGTATCCAGTTCAAAGCACAGGCTTTATAATATAGTAGACAATTTGGTAAGCCCATTCCTTCTCTTTCTTTTAAGTCCTGTAGAGTTTTATTTGAGTTTTATTTCTTTATGTGAGTTTTATTTCCTGTTTTTTTAGCTTGCCATATACAGTAAACTTAGAGGACACAGTGTCTACCTCCTTAAAATATTGATAATTCAACAGTATTGGTAATTTTGGAACAGGAATAAAAGCTTTGGTCAAAGTTCATCTTTATAGTAGCAATTCTTCCCAACATTGAAAGTTATAGCTTATCCCAAATTTCCAAATTTTGTTGTATTTCTGGAAGTATTGGAAGATAATTATTTTTCATTAGGGTGCTTTTTTTTTTTTGAAATATACACTCCCAGATATTTAATTTTTGACATGTGTTAAAAGCCAGTTTCTAATTGTATTTTTTTTTTTTGCTTCCTTCTTGTTCTTTTTCAGGGGCTGTCTAGCCCTCCTGTGAGCAGCTAGACATGGGAAAATTTCCTCCCACTTCCCCACTCCCTGATGCAAAAGGCCAGGCTTATCTCGGCTGTTCCAGCTTCTGTCTTGGCTTGGAAGAAAGAACCCACCGAGAGTATGTCCATCTTGGGCTCTGTTCCAGGAAGCCAACCTTGGAGGGGGGGAGCAGAGGTGCTGGGGGGCTTGGGTCCTGCCTGAGCACCTCCTTGCCCCTGGTGCCTCCTAGGGCTGCCCAGCCCAGCTAACCTGCCAAAAGCCTGTTCCCCCATTTCCTTGTGGGAGCTGCACCTCTCTGCAGAAAACGTGTTTGTCTGACCAATGAAGTCCAAGCTGGGTTTTCGGTTCCTCGTTTGTTGGAATTCCCTTGACTTTATTCCCTCTTCTCAAAACAATGGTGCCAGCGTGGAGGGGTTGGTGCTTGGCACTATTGCTCCCTTGCCTTGGCAAAGGGCTGGCCCCTTTTCTTGGCCCCCGCGGCTTGGGGCTTTGCAACCCAAGGACTACTGCTGCTGCTGCTGCTCCCGCCGCTGCCACCAGGTGAGGGACCACAGGGCCACAGGCCCTCGCTGCCGTGTACCTTGCACCTTGCTCAGAGATTCAAAGTCCTCTTCTGGATCTGCCAGATCTTCAACTGTCTGCCTTAGATTGTGGACCATTTTATGTGGCTCATTAGGCCTCCAGGAAGGACCCCAGACCACCTGGACTTTTCTGTCTTGGCTGGATTGCGATGCATTTTCACAATTTCCTTCCAACGGCATCTGTGGCATGTTGCTTCCTCAGGAAATGGACTTTGCCCAAGCAAACTGCTCAGGAGCCCATCTTTCCCTTGAGACACCTGGTTGAAGAACAGAGGAAGACCACGGAGGGCCAGAGCCAAATGCCAGGGGCCAAGGAGGCCCTTCCAGAAATGAAAAGGAATCAAACTCAGGCCAGGGTCTCTTGGCGAATTATCAGTGTGGTGGGAGCATAACAGGGAAAGGTGAAAGAGCTTGAGAATTTTAGGCAGTCAGAATACTCTCTGGAGCCATGTAATAATTTTGGTTTGTTGTTGGCAGAACCTTGCAAGCATTAAATGTTTACAAAATGCCACTGGCAAGGGTGGGTGAGTGGTGCTTGTATGTCCCAACACTCGTGACACTGCTCTGTGGTGCCAGATTCCCATGGGAGTGGAGGAACCATGTTCTGGGCAGCCCCTGCAAAAACTGCGGCAGGTGAAGGACCAGGACTGAAGCCTATTCAACTTACAAAAGGAGACCCAGGTTCAAATCCCTCCTGCCAGGAGCCCAACCGGGCAATTGTGGGGCAGCCTCCTTCTCCCCTTCTCGGCCAATCTTACGGCACAGAGTTCTTGCAAGGATAAAATAGAGTCACTTCTAAACACACTGCCTTGGGCCCATTGGAAAATGTGAGGACAGAAGGGTGTGGCTCAGTGCCTTCCTGGGGAGAAAAGAGAAGTCTGGGGAGGCCAGTTCAATTACAACAGAAAGCCCACCCAGGGAAAGGTACGGAGGGAACCACCTGGGCTGCCCTCCCCCTCCAGCTTGCAGCCGATGGCCCATCAATGCCCACCTGGCCCCTTTATCCAAGTGACCTTCAGGCAAAAGCCCCAAAGGGAAAGAGTCCCCCCATCTCCTCACCCCTCCACCCACTGAACTGCATAAGGCTGGGTTCCAGGGCCTGGTTCCTTCTGCGTCCTGCAACGGTAGCCCCCAGAGGCCCAGAAACCGCAAGGACGGGCATGACTCCTTCCTTGTGGCAGTGAGTGATAGCGGTGCCCCCCTCCTGGCCCCTTTCCATGAACCCTTCCTGTCCTATTCCATATTTGCTTTCTGATGGCCAGGCGCTGGTGCTTGATGGCCTCCTGAAGGGTGCTGGTTGAAGGTCAAGAAGGAAAACGAGCCATTCCAGTCTCACATTCCACTGGAAACAAGCAAGGGAGGGAAGAGACAGAGACAAGGGCTCCCCCCCCCACCCTCACAGCTGGTTTCCCCAGGGAATTTCCACTGGAGCCCTCCGAGTGCAAAGCAACCTTGGCCCCTTGACTCGGGAGTAGGCGAGGGAGGGAAGCCACATTCCCTTGACAGGAGGGGGATATGTGTGCATGTGTGCACGTCCATAGGTGTGCATGAGAGAGAGACTGGGAGGTAAGAAGGAGTCCGTTCCCCACCCTGCTGTCACCACCAGAACCCCTCCCACATTTGTCGGGTTCTGCGAATTGCCCCCCAGGAGGCTGCCATGGGGTGAATTGCCCCACGACCGCTTGTCACGCTGGAGGCTTAAACCCCTGGGTCTTGGGCTCCCCACCTCAGCCCGAGCGCTGCGCCCCTTCTTTGCTTCCAGAATGTGGTCCCCGTCGGAGAACCGCCTTGCACGGGGTGCAGAGAACAGGCCCTGGGGAGTTCTCTCCTGGGCCCAGTGGGGGTCCAGGGCAGGCGGTGGCCCCAGCCCTCTTGACAGCCTTCTGCTGGGCAGCAGGGCCCACAGTGGATGGGCTTTGTGGGGGCAGCTTCAGCCCAGCCCCCCCTGCCCTTCTTTGGAAGCTGCTGGCTCAGCCTCTGACGCTGAAGGCTGACAAGCCCCTTCCCAGGACTGCCTCCCACCATAGGTGTCTCTCTCTCTCTCTCTCTCTCTTTTGGCAAAGGTGAGCAGGGGTGCCGAGGCGGCAGGAGACCCAGGCTGCCCCGGACGGCCCCCCCCAGCCAGTGGCAGGCCACGCTGGAGAGAACAAATGGACACCCTGCTGCTTAAAGGGCTGAAGGCAACAAGGCTGCCCTGGAGCTGAGGGTCTTCCGATCAGTGGCAGGTTTCCAGAAGCAGAGGAGGGCCACCTCTGCCGGAGAGCGAGAGCGAGAGAGAGAGAGGCTTCCCACTAGCATGGCTGCCTGCCAGACCTCGGGCCTCTCTGGGGACCTGCTCCCTGCTGGGTGGCTGCCCTGGGTGAACAGCCCCACAGCCCCAGCCCGATTCCCAACCAGCATCAAGGCTCATGGGCTCAGCGTGACTGGGTCTCTACGAGTGTGGCCCACATCAGGCTTCCTTGGGGGTGTGTGTGTGCAGGAGATACACCTGCCCTGCCTCACTTTTTCATGTGTGCCTGCACGTCCATGCCCTTGTAATTTCCCCATGGCCCACCAGCCTGAAAGACCCCACCCCTTGACCTCAGGGAATTGGGGGTTGTGTTGACACCAATCCCTCCTCCCCCCCCATTTCAGCAGAGATTGTGGAGGGAGGGGGCTCTGGACCTTGGGAAAGGCCCCAGGCAGAGGGGCAGCTGCTGGAGGCCAGGGAGGAGGGCCGGGGACTCCATCCTCCCCCCCCCCAAAGCCTTGGTCTGCGCAGCTGGCAACCCTCCCTGTCGCTTCACCCCCATAGTGGGCCAGCGGGCAAAGAAAGGCGCTGAGCCACAAGATAGAGCTGGTGAGCCTTCAGTCCTCCTCTAGCCAAGCAAATAAGAACCAGAAACAGTGTCCGGCTGTGGTCCCGACTGGGAAGTATATTTCACCATCCACACGCAAGGCATTTCATGCAGGAATGATGACAGGCCACAGGTGAGAAGGGAGGGATGGGCAGGATGGCTGGGGATGCATAAAGGGCAGGGCCCTGCAGCTGTGGGGCCCTGCAGGTGTGGGGTGTGTGTGTGTGTGTGGGTGGGTGGTGGCTTGTGCCAAGGGCTCCCCTAGAAAAGGAGCCTCTGGGAGGGAGGGAGGGAGGGAGCGAGGGGGGGAAAGGGGGGCAAGAGTTGGCATCTCAGGGACTGTGATCTGGGAGGGGTTAAGAGGAAGGCAGCAAAAGAGGGGGGTTTGGCGGGGAGGCTAAGAGGGGGGCTGAGGGGCTAGAAATGGACCTGCAGGAGAGCCAGGGAGGGGAGGTCAAGCAAAGCCGTGTGATGGCTGGCGGGACGATCACTCTCGAGACCCAGAAACAAGGGAAGAATGATCCAGAAGGCGATGGCCATTCGTTCAGCCTTGATGCTCCCTCTCCAGATCATCGTCCTGCCTCTGTAGAAAGGAGGAGAGAGAGAGAGAGAGTCACTGAGGCAGCCGCTGCAGTTCTTAGGAGGCTCACCCGAGGAGCCCAGGAGGGCAACTTCCAGGGAGGGCCTGGGTGGGTGCCTCCCACTGACGGAGGGGCTGCCGGCTCTGACGGCGCGCGGTGGCTCCTTTCCTGTGCCTGCCATCCCAAAGCCGTGAACAGGAACTGGAAGCCCTACCTTTCTGCAGGCAAGCAGCTGCTCTGCCCGATCTCCCGGGCCCCGGGAGGCAGGGATGTCCTCAGACGTTACTGGCCCATTTATTAAAGGCGACTTTGTGGGTCCTGGCAGAGAGCCATGTGGCCCCGTTTCCCTTTTACCCCTGGGGAGCTAGAGAGCCTGCAACCCCTGAGAAGCCGCTGGAGGATGTGAGCCCCAAAGATGGCACCCTGTAAATGCTCCCTCCCTCTGTTGGCTGACACACATCTGGAGAACAGAGGCCTGCCTGCCTCCCTGCCCACTTGGCGGAGGGGGGAGAAAGCAAAGCCACGGCCCCCCAGCCTGCAATGAAGGGGGGGGGCTGCTGCACCTGGAGGAATCTGCCCATCAAGGGTGGGTCCACAGAAGGTCCGTGGGGGGGGGCTGATGTGGGCTGCCAGGCCAGGAGCACCAGAATAGGAAGATCAGCCCTCTTCCAGAAGGGCATGCCACCTCTTGCCTGCCCTGCAGTGGATGCTTTGGGGCAGGAGGGACACGGAGCTGATGGGGGAAGAGATGCCTGGCCCTGGAGTGCTGGAAGCCCCACCTGCAGACACCTTTTCTTTTCCTAGCCATGAGAAGACATGGAAGGTCCTTCCCCGGACTTTGTGCCCCACCTGCTGAGGGACCACCGGTGGTTCTGGGGCCCATCCTCTTCTTTAGGCCTGCAAGCTTTAGGACGAAGCCGTCCAAGACTTACCATCTCGTGCGCAGAACTGGAGACAAAATCCTTCCTCCCAAAAGTTGTTTGCATTGCCCCCGTGGCCTGCATAGAGGAACCTCTGACACGTCTTCAAGGCGCTGTCGTAATAAAAACGGGGTCGGAAGGCATCGCCAAATCCTTTATCCTTTGGCAGCTGGCAGATATCTGGAAGGAAGGAAGGAAGGAAGGAAGGAGCAGATGTGGAGGCTCTATAAGTTGAAATGCATCAGGTTCCCCAAAATTCTCGCCCTGATGGCAGCATAACTTGAAGGATTCTCCATATTATACCTTGACACCAGTAAATGTTGGGTTGAGGGTGGTGGGACCCAACCCAGAGAATTCATAGGGAAGACACGGCCGGCCTTTCAGAATTTGCATGTTCCTTGTAAGTGATCCTGGTCATGGTGTGGCTGGCTGCAGCCTTTTGGAAAAGCTGTCCAGTATGTAATCCCTCCCCCCCAATTCGTTGGGGATCAGTTTCCAGCCCCAGCCCCCATTGAAAAACACGGATTGTAGGGAATACGGTATGTCGAATGGTCTCTGGCTCCCTCTAGTGGTCAGTTTGGGTGACTTTCTCTTTAGAAATACTGTACTGTACTATGTTTCCCCGAAAATAAGACAGGGTCTTATATTGTGTGGGTGTGTGTGTGTGTGTGTGGGTGTGTGAGAGAGAGAGAGAGAGAGAGAGATAATTAGCCCTTGAACTGGCTTAGAAACGGACCAGGGCCAGTGAAGATGCCATAACAGATAATTTGCATGTTCCTTGTAAGTGATCCTGGTCATGGTGTGGCTGGCTGCAGCCTTTTGGAAAAGCTGTCCAGTATGTAATCCCTCCCCCCCAATTCGTTGGGGATCAGTTTCCAGCCCCAGCCCCCATTGAAAAACACGGATTGTAGGGAATACGGTATGTCGAATGGTCTCTGGCTCCCTCTAGTGGTCAGTTTGGGTGACTTTCTCTTTAGAAATACTGTACTGTACTATGTTTCCCCGAAAATAAGACAGGGTCTTATATTAATTTTTGCTCCAAAAAATGCATTAGGGCTTATTTTCAGGGGATGTTTTATTTTACAGTCACGTCATCTTCTGGTTGCTGCACAAGGGTGGAGGACGGGGTTTCACTGTACTGGGGCTTATTTTTGGGGTAGGGCTTATATTACGAGCATCATGAAAAATCATGCTAGGGATTATTTTCAGGTTAGGTCTTATTTTTGGGGAAACAGGGTATATATTTCTAGGTGTTTTCTTTAAATATTTCTAATATCTACAGACAATGGATACGTGAACCATCAGAAACTGATCTCGTGGATAAGGAGATCCTACTGTAGCTTCAAGGGCAGCCGGAGTGTGAAAGTTGTAAATGTGCCATAGATAGATGGAGAAAGGTTAGGTCTTATTTTTGGGGAAACAGGGTATATATTTATAGGTGTTTTCTTTTAATATTTTTTAATATCTACAGACAATGGATATGTGAACCATCAGAAACTGATCCCATGGATGAGGAGATCCTACTGTAGCTTCACGGGCAGCCGGAGTGTGAAAGTTGTACATTTGCCATAGATAGATGGAGAAATAGACAGACAGACAGACAGATTATTTTTGGGGAAACAGGGTATATATTTATAGGTGTTTTCTTTTAATATTTTTTAATATCTACAGACAATGGATATGTGAACCATCAGAAACTGATCCCATGGATGAGGAGATCCTACTGTAGCTTCACGGGCAGCCGGAGTGTGAAAGTTGTACATTTGCCATAGATAGATGGAGAAATAGACAGACAGACAGACAGATAGTCAGACAGACAACTGGATGGAACAAATCTACTCACTGGGATTTGAGCAGGTCTGGAGACACTCTAGCTGTGTGGCAAAGTTGTTCTCGTTGCCGCCACAGCCTCTGTAGATGAACTTCTCACAGAGTCCAGCCTGGGAGTTGTAGAAGACACGGAGGCCGGAGGTGGCGTTGCAAGTGGAGCCGACAGACAAGGGGAGCCTGCAGAAATCTAGACCCGGAGGAGACACCCGCTGGGTTGAGGGGAATTCCAGCAGTGCTGCAAGCCAGCTGGTGAAGGGCACTTTCTTTGTGTGTGGGAGGGGGGAGAGACACCCACTTTGTGGGTGTGAAACTTGGAAGTCTGAAATCCAGTCTTCAACAAACTTGGGAGGAATGTCAAAGAGAGTTGGAGGAACGTTTCCCTGCAATGTTGGTGTCTCTAAGTCTCTGGGGAGTACATGTCAAAGGGGGGGGGTATTTTCTAAGTAAAGGCCCTGTTGATTATCTTTAGCAAACCTTGATAATAATTGTGATCGCACCCACCAATCCATTTTGCTGCCTTGATCTACTAACTCTTGTTGAGTTTTGATAGAACCATCAAGATTTAAAACCTCACTGTATCTTACTATTTTCTTGTTTTCTCTCGGATATGGTAGAGCAAATGCTTCAAAGGGCGTCGCCCAGTGCGATACTTTGATATACCTTTGGTTTTTCACTTTATTCCACATTGACAGGAGTGCCTTCCTTAAAATATGGTTGTTAAATTGTTTAAAATCCTCAGTCCTGCTATACCATAAGAATGCATGCCAGCCCCATTCAAATCATATCCTTCTAATTTCTAGAGCCTTGTACAGTATTTCCCAATGTTATCCACTCCTTATTCCATATCAATGCAGATGCCCTATAGTAGCAAAGCCAATTCGGGAGCCCCATCCCTCCTCTTATTTTTAGGTCTTGTAAGTGCTTGATTTTAATTCTGGGTTTCCCCCCCTGCCAGGTGAATTTGGAAATGCATTTTTCAAGCTCCTTGAATATTGTTTGTTTTCAAACAATCAGAATTGTTTGGAAAAGGAATATGAGTTTGAGTAGAATATCCATTTTGATTGTATCAATTCTGCCCATTCAAAAAAATGTTTTACAGAGCACTTAAAATGTAACTTTTTCAAGAAACTAAAAACATTACTGGTTTTCAACATGTTACATAGTTACACTCATCCTAAACATTAGCTTATAACTGGAAACTTCATCAATCATTACTAATTCCTTCTAAGATCAGGGAAACAAGCATTTCAAATTCTTAGCAAGTCACTGAAAATGTAGATTAAAAAAAAAAAGGGGGGGGAATCTCTGAGTATCCTGGAGGCATCAGCAGTTCTGTCTCCTGGTTCTGGTCAGCAGCTTGAAATGACCAGCCACCCGCCTGACCCACAAGAAACCTCCTACTCACCTGGACGAGGGTGAAGTGTAGCTCCTATAGAAAGAGATAACAAAAGATGCTATTGAACAGATAATCCCCCCAAATCAGAACTCATGCTTCCCTTCTGTGTTGGATGGGTAGCCAGGGGTGCTGGAGAAACAGATCATAGCACAAGAGACGGGCAGGAAAACTGGTGGTCTGGCGCTTCACTTTGCTTCGGCAGACTGGGTCACGAAATGAACCCTGAGTCTAGTCTAGTTTGTCAAGGTTCTTTGGCTTGTGCTTTGTTTCGGGCCCATCTCTACATACCACCGATGGGTCCATCTCTGGCTGCACTCTTGAAGAGCAATGGGGGCGGGGGAACTTTCCCAAACAGACTGAAGGGCCGGCCCCACTGTTAGGTGGAGTAAGTCAGTGGCCAGGTGCAGGCATCAGGGAAAACCAGCAGCTCCTTAACTGTGGGATTCAGTTTCACGTGTTATTATTTCTCAAATATACCAGGCATTTTTCAAAAGAAAAGAGAAACCAAGCTATTTCCATTGCCACAATGAAGAAGGAACATTTGGGAGAGTCTCTGTCTCGAAATGAAAAAAGGACTGGCTTTTGAGACCAGGACTGGGGGCGGGGGAGGCAGGCATCTGTCCATTTGCTCCCTCCCACATTTTATTTTGTAGACTCTCCCATTCTTTTCACCCCACTTATAAAGAACGCGGCGCATTTCAGAAAAGCTGCTGGGAAGAAACCCCATCCCCTGTGGCCAAATTCTGTAGGCCCTGCTGCTGCCAGGATGGAGGGGGTCACACCGTGTGCCTGGGCAAGCAGGGACCCGGGAGCCAAAGAGGGTAACTTGGTGCCACCTCAGCACCACCGTTCAGGCTGGCCAAAGGCCCCAGGAGTCAAAGCCAGCCTTTGGCAGAACAACATAGCGGAATCAATGTAAAAATCCAATGAAACATGATTAAACCCTGTCACTAGCTGAAAGGACTTTTAAATAAAAGTACATAAATTAAAACTCATTTGAACATCTCAGGTCCATAGTCACCACTAGTAGAAGGTGGCTTTATGTCATTCTGTCTGAATTAGCCTCCGGTGAACAGAGAGGGCGGGTGCCTGGCAGACCTTTGCAGGAAGCTTGTTCCAGAGAGGAGGGGCCACGATGGAGAAGACTCATTTCCTCATCGTGGCTCTTTTGCCCCCCCCCCGTGGGTGTCATGATTCTTAGCATCAAAGACGGCAAGGAGTGAGTGGGACGGGTAGCTGTCCTGTGGTTCAGAAGATGTTCCACCCAATATCAAGGTCCTAAGGAATTTGTAGGGTATGATAATTAAATGTGTGAGAATGAGAACTGCTATAAAAGGAACTTTTAATGGGAAAGATCTTCATACATGGCTGAGTCAAGCCTGAGTCAGTGACCTGAGCTTGTTAGGATCTAACTCAGGTTATGAGCAGATCCTTGACTAATACAGCTTACGGAAACCCTTTAAGCAAAAACAGAATCTTGTCTGAAAGTAAACCAGCTAAGACAAAGTGTTGACACAGGACCCTTTTCCAGCTTGACCCAAAAACACACACACACATATCCCCCAGCCAGCGCAGCTCATATGAAGGGGAAGGGGAGGGGTACGTCTAAATCTCCCTACTCACCTACAGGCAGGTCCGGCTGCCTCCCATCAACCGCAAAAGAGAAGAGAGTCCAAGAGGAGAAGAGGCCCCAGAGGAGAAGCCGGGGACCCCGCATGATGCCAGCCAGGAAGAGGATGCCAGAGCTGAGCCGGCCTGGATCTTATAAGGCCTGCAGAGGTGAGCCGGCAGAGGCTGGGACTGGCTGACAGTTGAGCCACAGACAGGGAGTGACGGTTGCCCAAAACAGCTTCTCCGGTGACACAACCTCAGTCTGGACTGGACAAAAGCATTGAGAAATCCATCCCCGAGCAGGAGCGCTGCTCGTTGTGACTCAGGCTGCTCACGGCCACCGTCTTGCACAAGCTTGCCCTCATGTCCCAGGACTGGGGATGCAACGTGGCTTGGAGCAAGAGGTGACAGTTTCAAAGCCACACGGCTGAGGGATATTTTGCAATGACCGGGCTAGAAATTCTACGGAGCGTACCTACAGAGGGCAAGGCAGAAACCATGTTCGTATGTAGCTTTATCTCATTTCCAAGACGGTGTGGGTGGAGACAGGTTTCCTCTGGGCTAAATGTTCAAAACGAGGTAGAGACGCACTTGGCCAGAGTCACCACTCAGGCTTTCCATGGGCTCCTTCCTGGCCTAAACATCAGGGAGGTGGTGGAAGAAATGCCTCCAAAGGCTTGCAACCGTGGTCCTGTCTGTGGTTCAAGACTGGTGACTCCCTTGTCCCGACCATTTCAGCAGCATGGGTGGGGCCACCCATGGAGGGCAGAGTTCCTGCCCTAAACGTCTGCTGGGGACACACAGGGGCTGGGTTTGACCGAAGCGGATGAAGCAAGCTTGGCAGGAAGACCCGTGGAAGATGGAGATGAACGGGCAAATGTTGGCACAAAAGGCTCAGGGTGAGGACTTAGGGACTAGAAGGGAGACCAGAGGGTCTGAGGTGGGGCCTGGGCAAAAAGGCAACACAAAATAGCCAGAGAGATGTCAGAGCCCAAATGTTGGATGCTTTTGAGGGCTGATGGACACTCATGCCATGAATGCACAGAGAACAGGGGAAAACGTTGGACAAGCTGGGATTTCTAGGACAGGAAATAAATGCAATCTGATAAAGGTGCAATGGAGGCTTGGGGTGAGGATGCCCAACCCTGCTGGAAGGCAGCAGCCCAAGGAAGCTCAGCTTTGCCCCCGAGGGATGCACTCCTAGGGATGTCCTAGGGACACCTACAGCCCTGCCGTCCAGCCGCCTTCACCGTCAAATGAAAGGAAACCGTTTTCTGACCACTCGAGACCGGGAAGGGCCTTTTAAAAGGTCAGGTGGCTGGGTGCAAATTGAAACACAAAATCAACGTCATCTGCAAAGTATCCCCATAAAATAATGTATAAATACAGAACAATGTAAGAAGAGATTTGCAATAGGGTGAGACGAGATGCTCTTGTCTCTCTCTCTCTCTCTCTCTCTCTCTCTCTCCTGCCACCAAGCAGCTCACCTCCTCCTGAGAGCCACAACTCACCTCTCCAAAGCCTCTCCAGAGGGGTCTCCTCACCCTGGTCCGGCTCCTCATCCTGGTGAGTCTCGCGGGAGACGCATCTCAGGCCACAGAGGCTGAAGCAGCACTTCTTCCCGGGGGCACAATCTCGGTCATCCTTGCACTGGTTTTTGCACGGAACAAAGACCCGCCCAAGTCTTGTTTTGGGACAAAGGCCCGGATGGGCTGGGGGAGAAGGAAAGGGTTAAAGAGGGGGCCAGGTCGAGAAAGGCAGCTGCCCGCACAATGGGGTGCCAAGGGGGCTGAGGCTGATGGTTTGCCACCGCTGGATCCCCAGGGAGGGGCCACACCTGGCGGACCAAGCGTTGCTGACTGCCAAAGCCCAGTTGTCCCTGGGCGCCCTTCCGCCCGGCCTCCTCTTGCTTGTTCTCAAGGGAGGGGCAACGCCGCCCTTGACCTGACACACCACCCTCCTCGGACGCTCCCTGCGATCCAGTCGCTGCCAAAAGCTTCCGAGGCGGAGACTCACCCAGCAGACGTTTTGCCTGCCGTGTGCAACAAAAAAGGGGTAGACTCACCCAGCAGACGTTTTGCCTGCCATGTGCAACAAAAAAAGGAGGGCAGTTGGGCAGTTGGGCGGCGTTGGGTGATGCCAGGGTACCCGATGGGTCAGCGGGGTGGGGGAAGAGGGTGCCGAGTGGTTTCTGCCCCTGGCACCTCTCGGGGCACTTTCCTTTCTGAAGCGCAGAAAAGTGTGCCCGAGGCGCCTGCCATGCAGAGCGAAGCTGCCCTGCTTCGCAGGAGACAGACCTTCCCGGCGGGCTCTTACCTGGGACAGCGTGGGTGCATTTCTGTCGCCTGTGCTTCAGGCAACACTTCTCATGCCGGGCACAGTCCGTGTCCTTAGAGCAGGCCTTCGAGGAGACTGTTTCTCCTCCTGCTCCTCCTGCTCCTCCTGCTCCTCCTCCTCCTCGGGGACAGTAGCCAGGGTGCACTGCAAGAGAGAGGGCAGGCCAGGGGCCCGGAGGTCAGGAGCTGGCACCCTCCCGGGGGGGGCTTGTGGGCCACCTTGTGCAGAGTGGGGTGCAGCAAAATGGGCCTCGGCAGCCACGCAGCTCCCTGCCACCTGGATGTCTCCGGAAATGCTTGCCAGGATGTTGGGGCGTCCCTACGGGCCGAGGGCTTCCCTCCTTACAGGATCTCCAAGAAGTACGGGCGCAACCCATAGGCCCCTCCAGACCCAGATGAGCTGCGCTGGCCCCTCTTTAGAGGTCCGTGGGTCCTCCTGCTCCCTCCTTCCCTCCCAGCCACCCATTCCTCCCACTCGGATTCCGGATGGGGAGGAGAGCGCGCTTACCTCCATCGGGGAGGACGCATTTCCTAGTATTCCGAACCAGGCAGCATTTTTCGTCTCCCGGGCAGGCAAGACCTTCACTGCAGTAGGCGTGGGTGGGTCGGGGAAGACCTGGAGCCACGCTTGGGCACTGGCCAGGATTCGGGGGCCCTGGGCAGGAAAGAAGGGACCCCAGGTCATTGGCACGCCCCAAAGCATGAACAGAAGTGGGTCCCAAGGCCAGAGTGGGGCAGGGGGAGGCCAGCCACGGCCAGTTGGCATCAGAAAATCCAGACCGGGAGGTTTTGACAGGCCACAGAGGGCAAGGTCATCTGTCCACGGGAAGAGGGGTCGTGGGAGCAGGCGGAGGACGGGGCAGGGGCACCAGGCAGGCCTCCCCACAGTCAGGTCAGGTGGTGCCTCCGTCCACCTGGGTGGCTCAACAGTGACCGAAAGAAGGACCCGATTCTCCCAGAGGAGCTGCAGCCGGGCACAAGCCACTCTCCTCCCGATTGCTAAGCAGAGGTGTGGCAGGGAGGCGGTCATCAAAGGCTCGCTGGGACAATCTGTCTTCTTGGGGCATGCGCACACGCGAGGGGGGGGGCTTTCCACTAGCCGAACTCATACCAGCTCTGGCTAATGAAAAGAAAAAGTCCATCACCCCAGCTAGCCTTTCAGGAGGCGAGCGCCCCTTGGGCTAAACGGGCAAAAGGGTCCCGTGGCGCCTCTTGTTTCCTGCTGCGACCCTTCCGCTTTCCTCGCCTGGGCCGAGATCAAATCAAGTCTGAACTGTCTCTGGAGACAAAAAAGGTTGAATCTGAGGCTGTTCTATTTTGGACCCCTCATGAGAAAGGCAGGATTCTCTGGAACAGACCATTACGCTGGGAAAAGTGGAAGGCAGCAGGAAAAGAGGAAGACCCAATACAAGATGAATAGACTCCCTATAGGAAGCCAGAGGCTTGAATCTGCAGGAGATGAGCAGGGCCGTTGAGAACAGGGCATTTCGAAGATCGCTCATTCACAGGCTCATCACGAATCCGGGGCAACTTGATGGAGGGAACACCAAGCAACACATTTTCTCCCCAGTTTCTCACCGTTGGGGCCACTTGTTGGCGGTGCCGGAGTTTGGAAAGGGGTCTCGTCCATCCCTCTTTCTCTCTCCTGGTGTTGATTCCCACCTAGACGGAGGGGAGGGGGGGATACAGAATTAGGAGGTTGATGTCCTGCACCAAACAGGAACTGGTCCACCCTTCTGCAGACTGGAACAAGCAAGGCAGGTAGCAAAGAGGAGGGGATGGCAAAGGCGCCCCCTCCCCTTTCTGCTCTCTTGGCACACAGAGCGGGGCTGCATGCCCTGCACCCTCCAAGACCCAGCTGTGGCTGCCCTCAGCTAGGGGTGGAGCAGAAGACCTGGCCCCGATTGATGTGGAAGGAAGAGGCGGGGTAGATTTCTAGGTAAGGTCAGGGGTGAGATGAGTTAGGGGCGACCCCCTCCCCCTCCCCCCTCTAGGCTTGTGCCCTTCTTCACAGCGGCTAAGCCCTGCACGGAGGATGGTTGGGTAGGGGTGGGGAGGCCGAGGCACCTCATACAGGCCCCCCTCCCTTTTTTCTGGCCTCGCCCAAGATCCTTCCTGCCCTCCCCCTCTTGGCCCTGACGTCCCTGTCCTAGGCATGGCGCACAGAGCGAGCGAGCGAGAACCGCCGATTGCCTCTTCCCTGGACATCCAACAGGGAGAAGGTGGAAGAGAGAGAGGGACAAAGCCAGGGGGGATCTGCCCACACGCTGGAGAGTCGACGCACCCCAACAGCTTTCAAAGCACCCCATGGGTGTGCTCTGCATTCTCGGAGGGGTGTCGGTGAGATTGGGAGAGGGGGCCACAGCTGGGCTCACTGGAATGAGGCTCGGAGGGGACCGATTCAGAGCAGGGCTAAAGGGAGAGCTGAGCGCACGGTGTTTCCCCTTCTTTGTGCGAGGGAGATCACAGGGGGAGCAGAGCCACCCCAAACACAGCGGGACCCAAACAGGGGCCTTTGCCTGGCCCACCTCGGGGGTCTCCTTGTGTTCCAGAGAGTGGTGGGTGGTGTGGCAAGCTTGCATGTGAAAATAGGACAAGGCGAACCTCCAGTGGGGCCCGTCTTCCCACCACCCATCCTTTGACTACAAGCACAGTCCAAACACTTGTTCAAAAGGAGGGTCATTTCCCTCTCAAAGGGCTGCCCACAGCTGGTTGCAGGGGGAACCTCCCGGCCCACCCGTTCCCCCCCAGGAAGAGTCTTCTAGGTCTGGGGAGGGGGTCACACCATGCTTGGGTGGGGGCGCCACCATTACAAGCAGAAAAGAAAAGGGCTCCCTTCGGCCCCCACTTCTACCTCGGTTGGTGAGAAAGGTGAGGGCAGATGGCGAGAGAAGCCGCCTTCTGCACGTCCCCCCCTGCCCTCCACCCCTGTGGGCCCTTACCGGCAATCCTTTTCTTCATGCTGGCTGAGCCCGGCTCCGCTCGGAGAGCGAGGAAGCCCAGGAGCAGGAGGGCGATGGGGTGGCTCTTCATGGCTGCAGCTGAAACTGGCCGGGGTGAACCCGGTCCCGGAATAGATATCCCTCCCCTCTTTCTCTCTCTCCCTCCCCAATGCCAAGGCTGGGCCTGGTAGGTCAGCTCGTGGCACCTTTGCCTCTTGCCCGCCTCGTGCCCGTTCTCAGAACCCTATTGCGGTGTGTCAACAAAGTTATCAGGCTGCCCCAAAGCTCAGTCCTGGGGGGGGTGGCAGGTCAGTGTCACTCTGGCAGCTTGGCCTTGGCACGGCCTGAGGGGGGGGACGACTCTTTTTGCTTCCTCGACCGGGCACGGTGGAGCCACGTGTCGGGATTTTGGTGGTCATTTCCTTCTATGTTCTTGCTCGGAATGTTACTATGCCAAATGTATCTTGGCTTGTATATATGTCTAGCCATAATCAATATGTTATATTATAATCACTAAGAACTCTCTCATGTTGTTTTCTGCCCATGTCTAAGTCTCTTGCTTTGTTAAATTTAAATGGGAAGAATGGAAGCCGTCTGATACGAGGCTCTGCATAACGAGCGTCCTTAAGTTTCAAGGCTTGTCTTTCATAACAGAGTGCTCTTGCCAGGCTTCACATTCAGCCAGACTCCAAGACCTCGCCTCGGTTGGTGAGAAAGGTGAGGGCAGATGGCGAGAGAAGCCGCCTTCTGCACGTCCCCCCCCCGCCCCCCATCCTTGTTAGCCCTTACCGGCAATCCTTTTCTTCATGCTGGCTGAGCCGGGCTCCGCTCGGAGAGCGAGGAAGCCCAGGAGCAGGAGGGCGATGGGGTGGCTCTTCATGGCTGCAGCTGAAACTGGCCGGGGTGAACCCGGTCCCGGAATAGATATCCCTCCCCTCTTTCTCTCTCTCCCTCCCCAATGCCAAGGCTGGGCCTGGTAGGTCAGCTCGTGGCACCTTTGCCTCTTGCCCGCCTCGTGCCCGTTCTCAGAACCCTATTGCGGTGTGTCAACAAAGTTATCAGGCTGCCCCAAAGCTCAGTCCTGGGGGGGGTGGCAGGTCAGTGTCACTCTGGCAGCTTGGCCTTGGCACGGCCTGAGGGGGGGGACGACTCTTTTTGCTTCCTCGACCGGGCACGGTGGAGCCACGTGTCGGGATTTTGGTGGTCATTTCCTTCTATGTTCTTGCTCGGAATGTTACTATGCCAAATGTATCTTGGCTTGTATATATGTCTAGCCATAATCAATATGTTATATTATAATCACTAAGAACTCTCTCATGTTGTTTTCTGCCCATGTCTAAGTCTCTTGCTTTGTTAAATTTAAATGGGAAGAATGGAAGCCGTCTGATACGAGGCTCTGCATAACGAGCGTCCTTAAGTTTCAAGGCTTGTCTTTCATAACAGAGTGCTCTTGCCAGGCTTCACATTCAGCCAGACTCCAAGAAGTTTCCTTGAGGCCAAAGCCTCATTAAACCTCTGGAGTTTTGGCCCCACGTCTACACCACCCTGAGCCCTTTCATGGGACTGGAAGAAAAAGGCTGACGGGCAGACCAGAGGAGGTCTATGGGCCCCCCCAAACCGCCTGAGGATTCCTCCCCCCCAGCTGGTGCAGAACTCATTTTAATACATAAAAAACCCTTCCATCTTCTGGGCTTATGGCAAATGGGCTGGACTTTATACCCGAGGCCCTCCCGGAGCAGCGGTGTGGTGATGCCTCCTCTCTTGATTTCCTGCAGAGCCACCGTTTTGATGGGACTCTGGCACCACCCCTGTCAAGGGAGCCCTGCTGGCACCTTTCGTTTGGGGCGTGTTCTTGGGGCACCTGCCCTCCCTCTTTCCCTCCTGCCTGCCCTCCTGGCTGCCCCTTTCTTGGCACTGTTCTTGCTCGGACTGTTACTATGCCAAATGTATCTTGGCTTGTATATATGTCTAGCCATAATCAATATGTTATATTATAATCACTAAGAACTCTCTCATGTTGTTTTCTGCACCTGCCCTCCCTCTTTCCCTCCTGGCTGCCCTCCTGGCTGCCCTTTTCTTGGCATGTCCAGGGAGTGGGCAGCCGGAGGCACCTCATACAACACCCCCCCACACACAGAGCCTTCCTGCCATGTGTGTTTTGTGTGTCAGGGTCCCATCAAAGGTGCCTTGAGCAGAGGGTTTTGACTTGATGGCCAGGCTGGGACCTTCCGACTCTAGGATTTGGTCTCATGAGTGTGATGCCCAGCCGGCTCTTGGTGAGACCTCGTGGAAGGCGCTCCACCGACATACAGGTGGGCTTGCGCTAGCTTAATTGTCACAGCTGCCTCGTGGAATCTGAGAGGAATCCCTTAAAATCTTGACGGAGGAATAAGAATCGCCTTTGAAATGTAGGCCATGAACCTAAATTCCCCGGGTGCGTTGGTTAAAGCAGGTAAGGTTTGTGATATGGATGCGCCCCTAGACCTCAGGAGATGCTGCGGAACTGCCTCTCAGATCTTGGACTGGGCTAAACCCTCCTTCCACCCCCCACCCCCCCGAGCGAAGAACAGCTTTGAATCTGCTCCTGCCAACCGGCCAGTGCCCTTGCATCAAGCAGCTCCTTGAGCCAGGAGGTCACAAAGAGGGCTGTGTGTTAGGTTCCACTCTGTGTTTTTCTTTGATAGATATGGGAACTTTCCCCTGAGTTAGGGTTAGGGTTCGCTTGACGGTGCAAGTTTCACACCTGGTCCCCGCTTCATTTCACTCATACAGATTTCTCTGTGCAAGAGCTAATGGTGGCTCATCTTATTAGTGTTGTTATCATTAGAAAAACACATCAAGATTGAATGCCATTTATTCCCTTCAGTTTCAGCCTACAAGCAGCAGCCTTTTGAGCAACCCCATCCACAACTTCTTTCCAGGTCTCTGGTCGATGCCAGATCGATTTCATTCAGCCGACCCCTTCTGCTGCTCACTCCTCGGCTGAAGGTGCAGAGCTGTTCCTAGAGGTTGCGTCTGCAAAGGACAGTGCACGTCATCAATGATCTCAGGGGCCTCGTGACTGAATGATTGTCTCATACACAACGACAGAGTCACTTGGAATTTAACTGGGTATCAAACAGGACCACAGAGTGGTGTTGTTGTTTTTTTTTTGCCACCAGGAAGACCCAGCCTTTTGTTTGGAAGCCCTGAGCAGGGCTGCAAACGACGGGCCCTTTTGGAAGACACCACCACATCCATGGGGTCGCCATCAGTTGGACGCTCCTTGGTGGCATGGACTAGCAAGCATTTTTACCTGCAGCTTTCCTATGTTCCATCAGCTCCTCCGTTTCCTTCTGAACAGGCTCAGGAGATGGAGTCCCTACAGGAAATGCCATCAAGAAATGTTACCCCCAAATTCTCTGGGGGAGGCCCCCAGTTCCTGATGAGAAGAGGGAGGGAAGGAGGACCTGGGTCCTTTATACCCTGGAGATATTCCCTAAGTGGCCTTGGGCAGTCGAGAAGCAGATACTCATTTTATACCAGCCAGCCACCGAAGGTTGTCTCTCCCTACCTGAGATTCCAAACTCTTACTGCATCTCACCTGTAACCGGAAAGGGCTCCTTCATGGGGACACCTGCAAGGAAAACCTTATCAAGGATAGAACTTGAGTTCCCCTCTAACTCCAGACAGAGTCACCTTTTTTCAGGCTACAGGTGGGAGCCGTCCTCCACCACAGGAACCAGACACCTGAGCATCTGGTCCCCTCTCCCCAGGAAGGTGTGGCCCCTCCTCTCTTCCTGCCTCAAGACCGTACCTGCGACGGGCAGGCAGACCCAGCCGCAGCTCAGCCAGCAGCACTTCATGTGGGCCTGCGCACAGTCGTCGTCCTTCACGCAGAAGGTCAAGGAGAGGCACTCCACGGCCGTGCTCTCTGCCACCCTTAAGGGGCAGGATCCGGGGCGCACTGCAAGGAGGAAAGGAGAGGGAGGCTGTGACACAGAGCAAGGGGCGCCTCTCTGGAAACAGGAGAGCGGGTGCAAACCGAACAGCCAGTCAGGGCTGCCCCCCCCCAAATCTCAATCCTGCCAGGAGACCTGTGGACACCCTTTCCATCCTCCAGACCAGCATTTAGATTTGCAAGGGGTCATTTGTTCTTTGGAAGTGGCGCCATCCCACCGGGGTCATCGGATATGTCTCTGCCCAGCCCAGCCGCCTGAGGGGAACGCAAATGGCTCTTTGCCACTGGTGTTTCTCCGCAACTGAGAAGGCACAGAGAGCCTCTACTCAGCCCCCGGGACCAGCAGCCGTGGATGGCTCTGCTCCCCACTCCCTTGGGGACTGAGCTGCCGCCACCCCCCCCCCCCCAAATGACTCATCTCATGGTGCCCTGGGAAGGGACGGTGCTGGAAGGAGGGAGGAAGGGAAGAAGATGGCCTCCCCCCTCCCCCCGGTTAAATCTCAGAACCTGGGCCAGCCTTACCTGCCTCCGGTTCCCGGCAGACAGTGTTGCAGCCCACAGAGCAGCACTTTTGAGCATCCTCACAGTCGAAATCGTGGCTGCAGTTCTGCAAAGTCACGTCTGGGCAGGGCCCCATGGAGCCCCTCAGCTGCAAGGGACAGGCTCCCGGTTTCACTGCAAGGCAGAAGCACGGCAGTGGCAGAGACGGGGAGTCAAGCGGAGCAGCCCTTAGAGAGGTCAACCTCTCAAATCCCACAGGAAGCCTCCCTTCCCGCCCTTTGCCTCTTTTGCAGTTCCTCTTCCTTTGATATAGCACAACAGCAATGCATCAACCTAGCATGGCACACATACTACCACCAAAGTATCTCATTTATATAGAATAGCGCTGTAATATATCTATATCTATATCTATATATAAAATAGTACATTAGACCTGAGGCCCCCAGATGCTCTTGGACTTTTGTAGTCCAAAACTACAACTTGGGTCCACCTAGGAGTAGACAAAAATAAAGATGGGTGCTTCTCCATCATTCCTTTCAATGCCACAACTCACCAAATACATCGCTGGGTTGTCACCTCATATAACACACTGCCCACAACTCTACTTAGGTGCAAATGAACCATTTGCACAGCTACACAATGGCTAAGTAGGAGCCCTCTGAATCATGCCATGTACTGTACCAAAAAAGGAGCAAGACAACTCTAAAATTGGGCAGGATGGATCGCTTTTAAGTCAAAACATGTGTGGACACTGTAATTTGATTTGAACCAGCCGGCACTAAAAGCGATCCAAATGGCGAGCTATATGTCCACTGGGATGTGTCCTAACAGTAGAGCTGAAGCATTCAGAAGAGACCGGCTGTTCTTCAGGCTTCATTTTCCCACGTAGAGAAACTGTTTCCATTTAAGTACTCTAATACTGATTCTGTTAATATTAAACCATGATAATGATTAGCGATTAACTTGTTCGTTGGAGTCACATCAGGGCAAGAGAACGCCTTCTATTCCTGCACAAGTAACTTGGTGTCCCTTTAAGGGACAGGACTTTCTCAGTGCCAATGTTTCCATTCATTGTTTGGACCTGGAACGGAAGCGTCCCGTCTGCCAATTGGGGCCAACTTACCCAGGCTGGGCTCTCGGCAGGCCCTCGTGCACCCGACTGGGCAGCATTTCTTTGCTCCAGGGCATTCACTGTCGTTTTTGCACCAATCCTGGCACAAATCTGTGGTGTCCTGGGAAGCCTCGGGACACACCCCGGGTCGCTCCGTTTCTGGTAGGGATGTACAAGAACACACACGGCTCATTGCAGTTTTCCTGTTTCTTCTCGTTATTAAAGTACCGCTGATGTTACGCTCACTCAAGGGGAGGCAAAGGGCTTTTCTGCTGGCTGCAGTTTCCTGAGTTTTTTTCCATCCATGTCAACATACATTTTTCAGGTGTTCTCCCAATGACTTCAAAGGATCAGACCTGCTACATTTCAGACAGATGGGGAAAAGGGAACCTGGTTTATGGGCAAGTCGTGAGGATGATATATATTAAGCCTTGAACTTCCCGGTGGGCAGATCCAGTCCAGCACAAGCCAGAGAGCCTGGCGGTCGCCTGGGAGAGACACGTGTTTTACGTGGCCCAAGGTTTCCTTAGTAGCAGGCCACTTGCCTCTGATATCTCTGGCAAAGAGGGCCAAGGGCCCAGGAAAACACCTGCCCGATGCATGCCCTTCAGTGGACCAGAGGACTTGAAGGAAGGAAAAGTGCCAGGCACTCCGTTTCAAGCACAGAGGCTGGGCTGCTTATGAACCAAGGATGGCTGAGAACCAGGGAGGTCCTTGTGCCCAGGAGGGAGAAGGGAGGGAAGGAATAAGTGAGGAAGTGGGTGGGCAGAAGCAGGAAAGAAGGAGGACGTGGAGGCCGTAGGGGCGGGGGGCAGGGGGGAGGCAAAGCCTCTGCCTTCTTCTTCTTCTTCTTCTTCTTCTTCTTCTTCTTCTTCTTCTTCTTCTTCTTCTTCTTCTTCTTCTTCTTCTTCTTCTNCGCCTTCTTCTTCTTCTTCTTTCAAGGAAAAAAAACCTGACTTTGTCACATTCCTCCTTCCTGGGGGGTCGCTTCTTCTTCTTCTTCTTCTTCTTTTAAGGAAAAAAAAAACTGACTTTGTCACATCCCTGCTTCCTGGGGGGTCAGCAGGCCCGGCTGGCCCACCACTAGAACTGTCCATTTGCTTGCTCTCTCATCTGCCATGCGAGATTTATGGAGTTGCCTTCAACTCTTATGCTGCTGCTGCTGCTGCCCTGGTTGGATCATCATCATCAACAGCAGCTGGGAGTCACAAAGCGATATGCTCTCTGGTTTTCTCTCCCAGCCAAAAACGTACACAAACATTTAAGAAAACCAAACTATTAGTTCTCATATGTCTCATTTCTGCTTTTTCAATAAGTGAAATTACAGTTTACTAATGCTATGCATCAAGAAAAACTGCTTATTTTTAATTTTAAATACATCTTCACTCAGTTATGGTGGTTTTTTAATATACATTTTTGGATTTCAAATTATGAATTGATTTTTTTGTTAAAAAGGGAATGGGATGATGGAGAAGTGGGAACATGCAAGAAGATTTTATGATACGGCATTCAAGGGTGAGGAACAGCTGTTACGAAACTGAACGAAACTGTCCTTTGCCAGTGAGAATCATTAAGAGAAGGGCATAAAATGCAAAGGGTTCTTATCAAAATGGCCTTTGAAAGCCACTGGAAATGTCCCTTGTTAAACTCCAACTCCTCCTCTTGTTACCTTTGAAATGCTTCTTCATTTCATCCCGTAATTATATGTACCAACGATATCTGTAACTAATTACTCTTAAGCTCTGTAAAAGAGGGAGAGCAGAAATAGCAGACATTTCTGGAGATGGCAGGGGATGGGACACAAATTTTGGCTGAGGATGAAACTTAAGAAAGGGGGAAAGCAGGAAAGGCCCCTGGAGTCCTGGAAAGGGGCAGGAAGGATGGGAGGACAGGTGGAAAGGCAGTGGTTGCAAGGAGCTACCTTGATGCTGGAAGCAAGAAGTAAGAAGCCAGAAGAGAAGGTCCACGACAGGCAGCCGAGTAGAGAGCTTTGAAGTTAGAGCTTGTTGGGAGAACTGCCGTGGCCACTGACTGGATGACACTGCCAGCCGCGGACCCCTCTGGCTAGCAGAGTGGAGGTCCAAACCGGGCTTAAGCAGACGCCCGCCTGGCAAGGCATCGAGGAGCTGGGGCAGGGTGGGGATGGGGGCAATGTGCTTGGCACTCACGTGGAGGGGCAGAGGTCAGGAACCCCCTGATCAGCCCCTCGAAGGGGGTGGTCACCGAGGCTGAGATGAACCTTGCTCCTTCAGGTCTTGGCTGGGGTGCAGCTGTGTTAGTGCTGAGGAGCCCTATGGGAAACCAGGGGCTTTCTTAGGTGAAGCATCACATCCTCCCTGTGGTGTGCACGGGCCTCCCCCTCCAACACTGTTAAACTGCAGCTGCTGTCAGAACCAGAGGGGAACTGTGTGCCCGTTGCCCACCCAGTGCTTTCCATGCAAAGGACAACCAATCAACCAGCCAGCCAGCCAACCAACCAAACAACAAAACAACCAACCCACCTAGCCCACAACTGAGACTACACACACCAATGCTTCCCATGGCCTGCAAAGGAAACCCAACCAACCAACCAACCAACCAGCCAACCAAAAAACAAAAAAAGCAACCCACCTAGTACACAACTGAGCATATTAGACAATCTACAACCCCTTCTCAACCAGACCGCTTCCCTCTCCCAAGCCCTTGGTGGCTGGCCGGTATTCGCTTATGGACCATTCCCACCCCACCCCAATTGCAAGCATCGACAGCCACATTGCAGGGCACCCAACATGGGGACAGAGGCGAGGAACAAAACCTAACCTATTCCAGCAACACCCATTACAGTCCCCAACAGTGCCACACACCACGTCGCCAGGGGGTGCGTGTTGGCTTGTTCCTCTGCTGAGCTTCTGCCTTGGGGAGACATGGGGGGGGCAGCCGGCACCCAAAGCAAGGATGCCAGCCATGGGTTCCGGTGGGCTCTCCTCGGACAGGACCCCTCGCCCCTCCACAGTATGCCAGGTCTGACATACTGAACTGTCCCATAGGATCTTTTTACATGTCTTATTTTATATTTTGGGGGTGACTGTTTTGGTCTGGATCTCAGTATTTATGTCTTTGTGGGGCGGGGAGGATAGTTGTGTTTATAACAGAGAGAGACGGGTACCTGGGTGGGGCACTCTGCACTGGAAGCCACATTCGGTGGAGCTGCACTTCATGTTTCTCGGGCAGTTGGCATCATCTGTACAGAGATCGGGGCATGTCTTCGGGGGTGTTGTGGGTGCCACCTCAGTGCATGCCGGGGTCTCTCCTGGAAAAAGAGGAGGATTCAGAAGCACTGCCCATTTCACAGACCAGCAGCTCCCTGGTTTGCCTTAAATACGGGCATGTAGACTTTTAAAGAAGCATAAACGTGTGCCTTATTCGAGGATGCCCTTGGGCTCACTTTGGTGCTATCACCTTGTGTGTGTGTGTGTGTGGACATGCCTGCTTCAGCTTGCACCAGACAAAGGCCTGGCTGTCTCCAGAGTTCAGATGCCCCTGGCATTTTTGAAGCAAAACAGCCGATCCTTCCTGAATACTAACAATGTGTGAAATCACAGAAGAGGACTGGAAAACGGAGAATCCAGGAAGAAAACATGGCATCGTACAACTGTTAAGGAAGTCACCTGCCAAATTATTAACGACATTTTTGTTAAGAAAGTGGCCAAGTGGTGCTACTGTGAAGAGCTTTGAAGCCGGGGTGGAGGAGGAGAACCGCGTTTCCCTTGGCTTGGTGAAGGACAGGATCTAGACGGGAAAATGACAGCAGACAGAAAAAAACTGAAGCCCCTAAGAAATGTTCAGGATGTGGAACATTGAATAATGATGGGCTTGGCTTTCAAAAGGGGCTTTCAAATCGATGCTGAATGATTACTCTTTGCCCCACTGATTCTATCTGAGCTGGGACTGGTGGTGGTTTGATAGATCCCGTAATATGAGGGACATTGCCTGCGTGCAAAACTCAGGTCTCCACCTGGGGTGTACAATCTGTTCAGAGGCAACAGGGGAGAAGGCAGGAGGGAGGGGCACCTGGCCACCTTTTTCTTCCTCCACTCGGGTGCTTAGAGGTTT